TTGTATGTAATGTATGAATATAATATACAAGTTTCACTTTTTAAATGGAATTACTGAAATAAATCTACTTTTTCACGATATTCTAATTTTATGACCAGCACCTGTATTTTACCCGCTGTATGTGCCTAGAAAGTACAGAATAACCCCCTTTAAACCAGTTGGTAATGTTAGCATTAGCATTAACCCCACATTAGTGTTAGCATCAACTTTTGTTCCRCGCTCCATATAATTCACTAATTATAGCAATTGCAAAGAGCCAAACATTAATCAGATACAATTTTTCTGACTAATAATTGCTCAAGATGCGGTTTTGTCCATCCCTACTCAAAGCAAACACAACCAAGGCCTTACAAGGCGAAATGCTATTTGGTTCTGTTTGTATTGTTTGTTGAAAGATGTGTCACTGTAAGGGTGTTTTATCTTCCATGGTTCTTTGTTTTATCCCTYGTTTCTTGTGCTCTGTCTCCCTCTTGTGTTCTCAGTCAGTCACTCACCTGTTCATAGTTTGTGATTAGTCTTCCTRCAGGTGTTGTCGTCTTCCTTCTCATTCAGTTTGTGTATATATACCAGTCTTTTGTCATCACTCTGCTGGAACATTGTATGGATTACTCCATCAGTCTCAGTTCTGAGTCTCCTTTGGTTTTGTAAGTTTTGCTCCTCATCAGTCTTTTSACTTTGTTTAATAAATATTTTTTATGTTTGAAGTTCTTGAGCCTGTGCTTGGGTTCATCTTCAACTTGACCCTGRCAGTCAGTTTAATCCCTGAATCCTTATTAGATTAGATATATTTAACAAGACTGCATGGAAAAAAATTTTCTTCCTTCTCATTTTTTCAGTTGATGGAAAACTATTGTGGCAACAGAACTTTATCCATGAGGAGGTAGAAGGAGCAGTAGTCTGAATGATGCTGTATCATGATTTGGATTTGTGCACATGTAGAAAAACACATACGTGTATTCAAAAAAAATTTACCTGCAAAATGTTTTTCACTAATATTTTAATGTCGTCACAGGAAAAAGGGGTTACAAATGTGTAAAATTACATTTACACGAATATAATAAGGGCTAAAGAACCATTTATTTGTGTGTATTTTAAACTTTCATGTATACTTTAAGTACAACTTCAAATCAAAGGTTACAACTTCTGAAATCGGAGGCTGAGTGCATTTCAAACAACGCTTTGTAGCAAGTAATACACAAACTGAAGAGGCAAGTGCAGCGTGGGGGGAGGGGGGTGTTGCTAGGATACCAAGAGTCTATTCTGGTGTGAACCAATCAGAATGAGCTCAACCAGACAAGTTCATCTCAGTCTTAAAAAAACTTTGTTTTTGAAGAGCAAATAAACACATGGCAAGAAAACAGGAACTGGTCTCTGACCTCAGACCGGACCCAACCATCAGAACTGGTCTCTGACCTCAGACCGGACCCAACCATCAGAACTGGTCTCTGACCTCAGACCGGACCCAACCATCAGAACTGGTCTCTGACCTCAGACCGGACCCAACCATCAGAAGTGGATGTGTCC